AAGTGTGTGAAAGATAGAGAGAGAGAGGGGGGGAACAAGGCATATCATCAAAACAATAAAAAGAGACACGTGGCAACGAGAGAGGGGGGCGCACAGAGAGAGAGAGAGGGGGGAAAGGTGGGAACCGGTGATCGGAAGACGAGCGCGCATTCGGAAAAGAAAAGTGGAAACGTCAGAACGGAAAAGTGGAAGCGGAGGAAAGGCTGGCAAGCAGATGGCGGAGCAGCACGGACTTGAAGGAGAGAGAGAAAGAGTAGCGGCAGGCCGAAGACTACCGGAGGTTCAGATTAAAACCGCGAGAGGACGTTTGATAGCATGAATCAGATCGTCATTTGTCTATTGGGCGGGGTGGGGCGATGGAGAACCCACGAGGTCGGAGAATGACAGGAGGCGGAGGAAGAGAGGCAGACCAGAAGTGAGAAATGTGAGCGAAGGGTTGAAAGGAAGGGAGAGACAGAAAAAGGGCGGGAGGAGGGAGGGAGAGAAGGGAAGAAGGGCGGCCGAGAGGGAGCAAGGCGGCGAGAGAAACCGAGAGGAAGGACGAGATAGACACCGGGGACAAGATCCCACTTGCGCAAATTAGGAGATTTCGGCCGTTGATCTTTGCTATCTACGGTCAGTATCTCTTAATTCGTGCAAGTGGGACCTCGCCCCGAAAGAAAAGTGTGAGCGAAGGGTTGAGAGGAAGGGAGAGACAGATAAAGGGAGGGAGGATGGATGGAGGGAGGGAGGGAGAGAAGGGAAGAAGGGCGGCCGAGAGGGAGGAAGGCGGCGAGGGAGGGATGGACGGACGGACGGAGGAAGGGAGGGAGAAGAAGGATAGAGGAAGAAAGGGAGAGGGAGAGAGGGGGGGGGAAAGAGAGAGAGAGGGACGACCTGAATGAGGGGAGTCAACAGGGCTAGCTGTAGTGCCAATCCGACTTGCACCCCTGCAGCGACAATGGAGGAGAGCCCGATGGGGGCGAGAGGAAGTCTACCGATTTCCAACTTCACATCGAGTTTGTCGATGAAACCCAGGCCAATCTTCGGGCCCGCCCCCCGCGCGTCTATCCCCTCCCTCTTTCCCTTCCCCGCCACAATTGCGCACCCGTCCTCGGTCTTCGTAGCCTTCCACGAAAACTGTCCCTCACCGTCAACTTCCTCGAACACCTTCCCGCGTGTCGCATGTGGCAGGGGGGGAAACCCCGCGTGTACTTCCGCCTGCCTGACGGCTGCCATGGAATCCGGCGCGCCAAACCGCCACGTCCTTCAATTGACGTCGATATCACGTCTTCCGCCGAGTTCTTCTTTCAGGATCAGCCGTTCGATCAACCAGATCGATCGACCGACGGACGTGGCGCAAGCGGAGATTATGGCGCCACCACCGTGGCTCCGCTTCTTCCTCCTCCTGTTTGCCTCGCTCCTTCCACCTTCCTCTGCGTCTTCTCCCGCCACGTCGTCCACCCTCCTTCCCCCCTGCCGACCCCGCCCTCCTCCCCTGGCGATCCCGCCCTCCTTCCCTGCGGTCCCGCCGGCCTCCCCGTCTGTTCCCCGCCCAGGCGGCCGGGCTGCCTGGGCACGCTTATGGCGTCGAAATGGCAGGAGGAATCTTTCCTACCTGCTCCTAACGGCCCTGGCCTGCGCATTTCCAACTCGGGTACAATGCCGACCTCGCATTCGACGAGGTCCGATGGCGGAATACCTCACAGTCCCCAATGTCGAAGCGCCAGCAACAGCGGCAGGAGCTTCTGCCAGCAACGGGCGGGGCACAGTATATGGAGTTCACGATTGGCGCCAGTTGCACCGCAACTTCTGGCCTCTGCGCAACAGGGACGATTTTGCATGGTATCCCCGGGCGACAGGACGCAATCTGCCCGCTACCCCTGGGCGGCGGCTACTGGTATCCCCGGGCGACAGGACGCAATCTGCACGCTACCCCTGGGCGGCGGCTACTGTGTGTACAACGCATGGGTTACGTTGTGTTCCGCGCATGGCGTCATGTTCGAGTTCACTTCAACAACTTCAGGCAGGCGGGGGAGGCCGGTACAGGGTGAATAGGGCAGTGGCGGAGGCCAAACGGCTTTTCACTTTATAGGACCACCGCAGAAGCTGGAGCAGCGGCCTCTACTGACGCCTCACTCCAACACTCACCACACGTAGAAAAGCTAAAAATTGTGGCCAGTTTGCATCAGGAGTGGTCACTCTAGTCCAAGCCAACGCAATGCTCTAGTCATCACCCTTAGTGTGGCGGACCCGCCGGGACGGGGGTCCCGTCAGTCTCAAGACGAAGGGGTGAGGAAGAAGGAGATGGAGATGGAGCTGGAGGGGAGAGTGCAGCTCCGACGCAGACTCAACACGCTCCTACTCCAAGCTGTGTAAATGAAGAATGAATCAAGATACAGATCGCAGCTGGGGTATACCCCCAGCGGACTGGACTGGTACCGACCAAGCTGTGCAAATGAAGAATGAATCAAGATACAGACCGCAGCTGGGATATAGCCCCAGTGGACTGGACTGGTACCGACAGTGGTATCAGACAGAACTGGACCGAATGCTCACACGGCTTGTGGGGTCAGGCCGGCCTGGTCCCACAGGTCGAACAGACAAATAGCCAAATAGCCCTGGCTCTAGGCCAGGGTAGCTACAGGCCCCCTGCACGATCCTCATACCTGTAGTGGATTGCAAGAGCCATAAACACGCTATCCGCAAAAGCAGTGAAACTCTGCAACAATAAAGTTGAGAAATCTAAGATGCAGAGCAAACTCCATGTGAGTCCATGTAATGCAGCCTAAGCTACCTAATGTCATAAAGAAAAACAAATGTATGATATACACATCGTAACTAGCAACAACATGAATAATACAATCCTAAGGTCATGGAGGTAATTGTTTCCGTGTTAAAAGAAAAAGATAACAACATAGCGCAAGATAATGTCGTGTCGCTGAACCATAGGGAGTGTGTTGGTCTCGAGGGGGTAAATGCAGCCTAAGAATTGAAACTCCTAGTGGCAATTACCCACAAAGGTGGGATAGGTCATCAGGTTCAGGAGGGGGGAGTGGTAACAGAACAAAACCAATGACCTTAACAGATAAACCATCAAGGCGGGTAATGCTCAACAAAGGGGTGACACTATGCAGGGTCGACCATGAAAAGGGAGTTTGAAATAGAGGGGGGATATGCCTAACTAAAGGCATGCAATGGCCGACACTAGGGGTGATGGATGCAGTGGGTGAGGAAAACATGCACACAACTCACCGAGAGCAAGCGGGGGGGGGAGGGGAGGAGGAGGGGAAAGGGGAGGAGGAGGAGGAGGGGGTAGAGGAGAAGGAGGACGAGGAGGAGAGCAAGGAGAAGGAGGAGGAAGAGGAGGGCGAGGAGGAGGAGGAGGAGGAGGAGAAGAAGGCGAAAGAGGGAAAGGAGACATTAATGGTTAACGGGGACCCTCGTTTTTAGGTTCTGACCAACAGACCTAAAACTAAAATTAGGGTTTGGGGGACAAATTTTATGGTTTTTTTTTTTCCTGTTTTTGTTTTGGGCCAAGGTTTGGGTGTTCCAAATTTGGTCTTATTTTGAGCATTAGAATTTCCTTTGCTAAAATTTCTGAAAATTTTCAAGATTTTTGAAATTGAATGTTGACAAAATTTACATGGAACTGCATTTTTGCTTCGTTGTTTTATATTTTTTTAATTTTTTTCAATTATTTTTTGTTGTTGGTCAGTATGGTTTCCACTTTATGAATTGCTGACAAATTTTGATAAAATGACTTTTTAGTTTTATTATAAATGGCATGAAAAGTTCTCTGAAAATTTAGGTCTTCGTTAACCGTCTCTCGAATGAGGGGAAGGAGGGGAAGGAGGGGAAGTGAATGGGGGAGGGGGAAAGGGAGGAGGAGAAGGAGGAGGAGGAGTAACCTTATTTTTCGTGCATTTGCAAATTAATGTGACGCGTTTTCATGACTTAGTGAGAGTCTGTTTGAACTTATTTTTCCTGATATAGCAAACATAGCAATACTTTGCCGAGATCAGTTGTAATACCTACTGATGAATATGTGCCCCATTTGTCCCAATTTCGGTGGGGGAAAAAAAACTTTCATTAAAAAAAAATGGTCAAAGACAAATGTAGAATGAGGCATAATATTTTTATTTTTCAACTTTTTTTTTATCAGCTTGATCCCAATTCGATTGTAGATGACAACGACGCTCAGAAGGATGATACACACAAGAAGGACATGGTAAAATCATAATAATGTGATGATTCATCATGATGATTAATTACAATAAATTATATGATTAATTATGATTTGCGGTACATCGGTCTCTCATGACCGTTGTTGATAATTGAGGATCAATGATTGATTAATTGATGAGAATACGACTATGATTGACTATCATAGACTGTGATTGGTGATAATCCTTCACGATAATCGACCATAGTAGACAATGATTGATCATGATGGATATAACTAGTAATTATGATTAATAATGATCGACAGGGATTGATACGATTTTATAATGATTGATAACGATTGATATGCATTGATAATGATTGATGGCAATTGATATAGTAATGTAACAATGATTGATGATTATCATTATTGTGATGACGATGATGATTATAATAATGATTATCATCATGATGATGATGATGATGATCAATATGAGCACGACTACGATGATAATGATAAAGATCATGATTTTTTTATTGATGATAATTATAATGATGATGATGGTGATGATGGCGAAGAGGAAGAGGACGAGGAGACGGAGGCAACGCAGGAAGAGGTGGCGTGGAAGGAGGGGGAGGAGGGGGATGAATGGAGTGAGGATAGCGATGATGATCCAAAGTGGGAGAGAGTGATGATAAGGATATTRACTAAAAAAAAAAAAAAAAAAAAAAAATAGATAGAAAAAAATATATATATAAAATGAAAAAAAAAAAAGTTTGTGGTAAGGTTATTTTTATTTCTTGTGTATTGATCCCTCTCTATATCAAAATATGTTATTTTTCATCTTTTTCCTCCTTCCCATCCTCATCTTGGTCATTTTCCTTTCTTGTGTATTGATCTCCCTCTATGTCGAAATTTGTTATTTTCGACTTCACATTTATCTTCCTCTCTCCTCATTTTTCTTCTCCTCATCCACACCTCAATTTTTTCCTTGAAAAAAAGTATCGCTCGGAATAAAGTTAAACACTTAAATGTGAATAACTTCGATTCAGTTCTAAAAATTGCAACTTGTCAAAATATTGAAAAAAAAAAAAAATTGCGGAGTTTTTTTTTTTTTTTAATCTTTTGTTACGATGTTTGTTGCATACTGTCTCTCTGCTTTATCATTCCACCTCCTCATCCTCCACCATACCCCCCTCTTTCCCTTTTCCAACATTTCTCTCTCCCCCCCTCCCTTCCTCCCTCCTCCTCCTCCTCCCTCCTCCTCCCTCCTCCCTCCTCGTCGTTATCCCTTCCTTCTCTTATAGAGAATAAATGTCATTGTGTCACTGGGGTTAAAGAGTGGTTCCCGCAAGCAACAACTACTGTCCTACCCCGAATATAACACACCGTGATTTTGAATGTATACACGCTACATTTTCGGTCAGGTGGCGCTAAAATGAGGGTGTGTTGTGTAGTCAGAATCCTTTGCACCGGAAACAAGGATGGCAAGGAGTTTTTCATTTTTACTCTTAACCTATGCTCACGTTGGTAGCGGGCAGGAGAAGAAGAGGGGGAAGAAGAGACTATATAAAAAGAAGGAGAAGATGGGGGTCAGGGAGAGAGAGAGGAAAAAGGAGAGGAAAAAGGAAAACAAGAGAGGGATAAAAAAAGAGGAAGACGGAGAAGAGGAGAGAGAAAAAGAAGAAGATGAAGAGGGAGAAAAGGTGAAAAAACAAGAAGAAGAAGAAGGAGGGAGATAAAGCCACTTTCCTTCTCCTGCCAACTCGCCACACAGGCGAGAGAGAGAGAGAGTAGTAAGAGGGGACAAAGAGGTCAATAACGCATGTTTGTGGAGCCGGGTCAAAGAAGGAGCGATGAGAAGAAGGAAAGAGAGGAGAAGAAGACAATGGCGGTAGGGAGGAAGGACAAAAGGTTTGCTTTTCCTTTCCGATTTTTTTTTTTGGACTTACTACCGGTAGTATCATCGCCGAGGAGGTCTGTGAACCTCCTCAAGCCTTCTAGAGGCCTAACGTTGTTCGTGTAGAAGGATCGCTTCGCCCTTTCTGTTTACAGCTTCGGTAGGTTCAGTGGGGGAGCGGGTAGGGGCCGCAGGGGGTAGGGTGAAGTATGGACAAGGGGGAGAGGAGAGATGACGAGTGCAAGAAACACTTGATATAAGGCAGAAGAAAAAGACAAACGCCAAAACCCAAGCTCCATCAACCCCTCCCAACTAACCACAAAAATTGACTGCCCCTCCCACGACATCTCTCTCTCACACACACACACACACACACACACACACGCACACACACACACACACACACACACACACACACATACACACACACAGAACAGAGGGAGCTAGATGAATAAAGAAGCAAACATAGACTACCTAGATAGACA